ATATTTAAAACTGACATCAATTAAATTACTCTAAATTCTAAATACATTTTATGTAAGTTTAACATTGTTTCTATTTTTATTTAGGCACTGTCATTTATAATTATTTTAATAACAGTTTTATTCAGTGTTCCAACTATAAATCAATCACCAATGTCAGAGCCTCTTCATCAACGACCTAAAGGTCCCTCCTCTTCCCAACCTGCCTTTTTGGCAATGTTGTTTTTTAAATTTACTTGTTAAAGTTTGGGTCACATGCATACAACATGCTTTAAAATAAAGATATCCGAGTGAATAAGATGATAGTATTTTTTTATAATGACATTCCCCGAATATTAGGGGAAAGGGAATGAAAAAAAACCCTTGGCTGGTATTTAGAGAGAAGGAAAGTGGAAACCCACAGACTCCTGGACTATTCCTGATATGAGAAATATAAGATAGAAGGGTTATTTTTTCCTATCTGAACTGATAGGGAAAAAAATTATGCTCATCTTTCTTAAAATCTTAAAAGGGCAAATTCTGTATTATCACTATAATATGTACTATAATAATACTTCTGCTCTGATAGCAGATGAAAAATGAGATTTCTCAGATTCTATTAATTCATTTTTGAGACAGAGCTATGCTGTAAAGACATCTTTGATACTTTCTCATTTACTTGTAAATCAAATCCCTGTCCTAATTATTTCCAGCTCTTCTCCAAAGTTAAACTAAAGTCCGACTTTAGTTTTGAAAAAATGTCTATTGTTTTACTCCTTAACTACTCATATTTACTTTGGGGTTAAATAAAAGCCATGCAAAGTTAGCATTTCCAAAGATAACTCCATATATTTGCCCTCATATCTGATTATGACTGCCAATATTAATCCAATATAGTTAATGAAGTAGTCAGAACTCAGATTTTACCAAATCAAAAAAGTAACAGTTACAGAAAGGGAAAAACTGGTAAATATCTTTCTATCTCCTACTCCCCTGTTATATATATATATATATATATATATATATTATATATGTGTGTGTGTATTTATATGCGTGTGCTACTCATATGTTTTCCTCTCTTTTTACTAACAACTGCTTTTGTCATTTTATCCACTATTACATATAAGAAATTTTCTTTAAGGTCTGCATTTGATTTTTGTATTTGATGGACTCCCTTATGTGTATAGTATTTAGGTATTATGTTGTGTGTATGTGTGTGTGTGTGTGTGTGTGTGTGTATTGGCAAGTTCACACTTCGCAGCTAGTTAATTACTGATACTCAGAGGTCACTTTCATTTTAGTTGTTCTGTAGTTGTTTTAGTATCAAATTATTAGTAACAGGCTATGCAGATTCTGCTCTTTCCCCCCTCCCATTATATACTTTCCTTTATTGTCTTTTATTATAGTTATTTATGTTTCTGATTCTCTCTGATGTTTTCTGACTTTGCTCAAAGATTTCTCTCTGAAGTTTTCTGACTTTGCTCAAAGATTTTTTTAAATCTTTTAACGTAGAAAAGTTCCTTTCATATCTCCTGTGGAGCATATCTGGTGGTGGCAAATACTTTAGAAATTTTCCATTTTCTTTTAGGAACTCCATTCTATTTTAAAAAAATATTTTCTTTAAGGCTATGAATATGGTAAGAAATTCCACACATATTCTTCTGGCTAATGTCCAAAAAGGCAAGATACCTCCTTTCTCACCTCAAATTTAAGTTACTTGGGAACTCCTTTGATTACTGTCCCCATACTTATTCATTCTGATTTTTATCCTTCACTAAAATCAGTTTATGTAGGAAAAATATTCTTTTTTCCTGATATTTTCATAAATGTAATTATTTTTCTAAAACATTAAAATAGAAAACATGTTTTTATTAGTTTATACAAAGAAAATATCAATATGGTAATAAAAATACGGGCTGGAGCGATACCACAGCGGTAGGGCGTTTGCCTTGCACGCAGGCAACATGGCCGACCCAAGTTCGATTTCTCCACCCCTCTCGGAGAGCCTAGCAAGCTACCTAGAGTATCTCGCCAGCACGGCAGAGCCTGGCAAGCTACCCGTGACGTATTCAATATGCCAAACACAGTAACAACAAGTCTCACGATGGAGCCGTTACTGGGCCCGCTCGAGCAAATCGATGAACAACGGGAGTACTCTGACTGTGAATAAAAATATTGAAAAAATATGAAAAGTACAAGAACATTAGAGAAATTATACTGGCAACAGTCCTAGGAATATATTTTTCTTGCAATAGTACAATAGAGTGCTATTAAGTCCATTCAAAATTAATGGCAAGATATAAAAAGTTCTGATATCATAAACTTTGAGGTTGGGATAACAGCAATTGGTAGTTTTTAGGTTACTTGCAGATCAAGCTAAGGATATTTCAAGAATGTTTTCATGAAAAGCTATTTCCATTCTTAGAGGAAAACAATAAAATTATTGTTGTCCTTGGCAATTTGGTCATAAACAGGCAAGTGATATGATTAAAAATAATTTAATTGTACAAACTGTCAATTAAAAATTAACTGATGAACAGAATCAATTCAAATTTAATAAAAAGATCAGTCAATAGAGATAATAAGTTTAGATGCTTTTGATCTATAGTTCATTCTCAGCAATTCTGATAAGTTAAATATAATAACACACTAAGGATAACATGACGTTAGATTCAAATGGCCAGACAGCAAGGAAGACTTGTGAGTTGCCATATTGTTATATAAACCATTAAAAGGACACTGTAAGGACAGTACATTTCCAGTCTTGACTGTTGCCTTGTTTCTTTGTCAAGGAACATGAAACACACAGACTTTGGAACTCGAAGATATAAAAGCCACGGCTTTCAGCATGAACAGGAAGCCCTGAGCAGTCACAGGGAGTCGTGAGTCCCCTTCCAATTTGGAGCTCGCAAACTGAAACAGAAAAACCCCAAAGAAGACCAAGGATCAGAGCAGTTCTTTCAAGGTTTTCTTTCCACAGCCTATTTTGAAGGGCCGTGAATTCTGTCAAGTGTCCTTCCCATGGGTGGTTTTAACAAGGAACTGAAATGTAACCTATATTGCTATGTGTAGGATAACAATTGATTTGTACTTTCTCCCTTGCCACAAGGAGCTTAGGTTTATCAGGTTACATCCATCACAGTGCTCCCGAGTCACTCCCATTCCTTTGTTTATCTGTAAGCACTTCTCTATGCTCTCTTCCCCAACCAGTTAATCAGCTTTTCCCCCTAATCAGAATCTGTTAATTTATAAGGTCAGATCCTTCTAGGACACTGAACTTGTATTGTAAGTTAATATTTCCTTTCTTCTCTCCTTATATCTTTTGAATAGTTTACTTTAAAGCAATGTCCTTTTTATATAGACACAGGAAGACAGTTAATATTATGCTTTTGTAACTTCAGATTTAATTGGCTTTGAGTATTATTCACTCTCGGGCATCTGCTTTCTTGACTTAAGTCTCAGTTGCCCTTAGTTCCTAGCACCCCAAAAGCAGGGTCCCAATGAGGGACTGGATGGACCCAGGGCAAGCTGTGAGCTACCCTGGCATCGAAATGGACCAGGCCAAAGCGCTATGATTCTTAAGAGCTTCATCATGGACAAATGCTGTCATGATTCAAAAGTAATGGTGCAACTAGGACCCTGCTAGAGATAGAAAAGACTAATCTGGCCTGAGCACTGTAGTCTGAGATCAAGATGGCCCTAGGAGAGAAATTCTATAAGCTTAATGTATCTCTACTGTGTCCATACAAAATGATCAATATTATGAATGTTCATGTGTTTATTGGACAAGGAGAGAAACACACCCACGGGATTCCACTCTTGGGTGGGTTGTCCTGCTGAGAGGGTATCTGTCCTAGAAGAAATACCCCCTGAGGGAAAGAACTTTATCCCTATTTATTGTGACCAACCTATGTGTAAGCCCCAACTCCTCATGCATTGGGATTTAACTAGACTGTAAGAGTGGGCTGGGGAATCCAGATTCCAGAGGCAGAAGAGAATGAAGAGAGATAGAGTAGGAGAATGAAGTAGCATTGGGGAGGAAGAAGCAGGAGGAGAATCAGAGGAGACTGGAAATGGGAATGGAATAAACCGCAACTGACACCAACCAGCCTGGCCCTCATTTCCTTACTTCACCTGCCCATGACCATTAACCTCCCTGAGGTGGGTGAAGCGGTCCGAGACTACAAAATGCGGACGGTGGGAGAGACAGACTGCTGCTGTCTTTTTGAGTTTACACAGCTATGCATCTCAGTAACTTTTCCAAACATTTCCTAAGTCTTTCCATTCAGGAAAGATGAGGATGGTGTGATGGAAGAGGAAGCCAACAGAGTGCTGCCCAGCCAGTGAGTAGCACGAAGCTGTGGGAGAAAGCGAAACCTGAGGTCTCCTTCTGGTCATTATTAACAGACTTCAAGAAAAACCCAACCAGACTCTTGCCTTACCAACCTCTACTCAATTGAGTATTTAGGAAGCATCTGAGATTAAAAAGCAGACTATTAAGGAATACAAAGAAGCAAAGGCTGAACATGGCTTGGCATTGAATTGTTTTACATGCCCAAAGAATATTATCACCTGGAAGTAATTTTGAAAATTACAAAGTCATGATTTACTTAAATTAGCCCAATTTTCCCCAATGTAGGTGTTCTCTATTTACATAGCATAGAAAAGATACTAAGTTGACTCTGCTACCATAGTTCTATCCAATGAAAGCAGATTACATGTTCTGGCTGCAAGAATTCATGTTTCTTATACTTTTCCACTCAGCTAATGTATATGCATTATAAAACACAAGCTTTAAGACTATTCAAATCAAAAGGAAAAAATAGATTAAAGAATTTGCATAACCAAAAAATGCCTAACTAGCCTTTGAAATAATCAGCTTTGCATGGCCTATTGGAGCAGTCTATTTTCGAGAGGTGTCTCCCTTCATTCTGAGCGGTGGCACAGGGTGAGCACACGCCCAGTGGGTCTCCTCCTGCCGGCTAGGGCGAGGAGACTAGTCCCAGGGCTGGAGCCCTGCTTCCTTAACTGTACAACAGGTAGAAGAAGGAGATGATGAAGGCAAGCGAGAGCACGGTCACGGAGAGCCCCAGCTGCTGCAGCCAGAGGCAGCGCTGGACCTGGCCCTGCAGCTGCAGGTGGCTCTCCAGCACGAGGCGGAGCTGCAGCGCCATGTCCGCGGAGGGCTGCGGGGCTGCACTCCGGGGGTGCTCCCGCGGCAGGGGCGCACCAGGCCCGGGGCTCCCGGTCACGTGGCAACGCAGCCGGTGCTCCATCACTTTGCTCCTCGGCACCTCCTTCCAGAACTGGCCCAGCGGCGGCGCGCCGGTGCTGCAGGGCCGGTCCATCTCCGCGGCCGTGACGAGGACGCGATCGTGGGCAGAGGCCGTGAGCACCCCGCGCGGGGACACGGCCACGGCTACGGAGGCGCCGGGCGCGCAGCTACTGCTGCTGGGCCGGACAAGGAACTTCTCAGGCGCTGTGGGCCGCACCCGGAAGGCCACCGTGTTCTGGGTCACGTTGGTCAGCGTGATCAGCGTGTCCTCCGCGGGGCCCGAGCCCCCGAAGTGCAGCTCGTCCCCCGGACTGACGTGCAGCAGTGGCCCCCTGAACACGCTCGGGGGGCTTGGCGGCGCGCCCGCCGTGGGGTCGGCGCTCTCGGGCGCGTCCGTCGAGGGTTCGGCACTGTCGCTGTCCTCAGGCGCCCGGCTGGCGGCGCTCGCCCAGGTGCCCGCGCTGTCGCTGTCGCTGTCCCCGTCGCCGGCGATGTCCCGCGCGGGTCCGTCGCTGTGGCCCGGCGGCGGGTAGCTGTAGCGGAAGGCATCGGTGCCGCCCATGTGCGGCGGCAGGTACTCGGCGCCCACGTAGGCGCGCACGTCGCTGCGGCCCGCCAGCTTCAGCAGCGCCGCCGCCTCGGCGCCCAGCCAGGACCGCACCACCCTGAAGGCCGCCGTCATGAGCCACGGCAGGTCGAAGACCACCACCTTGGACACGGCGTCGGGGTAGTAGACGCGGAAGCAGCTGACGAGGAAGCGCACGAAGTCCATGTCGAGGCAGCCGAGGCCTGCGTCCGACAGGTCGAACATGACGGTGAGGCGCCCGCCAGCGCGCGCGTGTCGCTCCAGCCAGAGCGCCACCAGGCGCTGCTGGTCGGCCAGGCTGCGCGGGTCTCGGACGTGCAGCCGCGCGCGGATCCACAGCAGCCGGTTGCCCTCGCGGTCGTAGCCGTGCAGGTAGACGCTGCCCGCCTCCAGCAGCCGCCGCGGGATGCTCGACTCGTCCAGGTCGCGCACGCGCATGGCCCGCCGCCACCGGAAGCTCTCGTCGATGGCCTTCAGCGTCTCTCCCACGGCGCGGTGGCGCCACGCCAGGTACCGCTCCACCCAGCCGTCGTCGCGCCGCAGCCGCTCCATGTCGCGCGAGTCGTACTGCTCGGGCCGGCCCGTCACGAACTCCGCCTCGAACCGCTGCCGGGTCTCAGCGACCAGCTGGGCCGTGCTCGGGACGCTGCTCTGGGCCATGGCCGCGCGCAGCGACGGCGTGGCCGCCTCTCGTCAGGGCGTCACCTCACCGCCAGCCACAGAGCGCCGGGAAACGTCTTGAAGTGCAGAGGTCAGGAGAGAGAAGGAGGCCGCCTCACCGCCTGCCCCCTCAGAGCGCGGGAAAAGGTCGTAAAGGGCAAAGGTCAGCAGAGAGAAGGGGGCGCGCCTCACCTCCCGCCCCTCACAGAGCGCGGGGAACGGTCGTAAAGGGCGAAGGTCAGTAGAGAGAGGGGGGCGCGCCTCACCTCCCGCCCCTCACAGAGCGCGGGAAACGGTCCTAAAGGGCAAAGGTCAGCAGAGAGAAGGGGCGCGCCTCACCTTCCGCCCCTCACAGAGCGCGGGAAACGGTCCTAAAGGGCAAAGGTCAAGAGAGAGGAGAAAGGAAGACATGGGAGGTGGAAACACACGGGAACACGGGTGAATATGATGTTGGTGACCAATCACTACGTTCTTTCATCTACTATAAGGTTTCCAACGTTTAGACCTCCATAATGACCGTAAGACATACCAGAGATGTGAAAAAATGTGAATAAAAATGTTTTAAGTTAAATTCATGAAAATTTTACTAAAATTGCAGTTTTGAATTGTCACCCAAACCTTTTATAAATTAAAAGTAAAGTAAGTAAAGTAAAGGCCCTCCCGTTGATCATCGATTTGCTCGAGCGGGCCCAGTAACGTCTCCATTGGAGACTTTGTTGTTACTGTGTCTGGCATATCGAATACTCTCAGTAGCTTGCCGGGCTCTCCGAATTAAAAAAAAATAAAAATACCAAGAATCATGATAGATACAGAGAATTTATATTTCAGATAAAATAACCCATACATAAGATCTGTGCCTCTTCACTTATTAGAATTCTGAAATGTCTGTCTTCTTTCACTTTGTAACTTCAGAGTGAAATAGCTTTCCTCATATTTGACTTACAGCTTTCAGGTTTGAACAGTAATTTTCCAAAATGTGTTTTCACCTGGAGAGCAAATCTATAAATGTCTTCAAAGTGGTAAATTTGAGCTTTGTCCTCTATCTCAGGTGGGAGGAAAGCTATGAGGGATGAAAGTTATGTTTTATATTTGAAAAACACAGAAAGAAAATTCCAAATCATTGAACGTCACCTTGTGTCCTAGAGTCTTGCAGAGTCTTTCACCTTTTTATCCCATTCTCTTGGGAGTGTATGCAGTACATGCTATTCCATGTCATCGAAAACACCTAAATAAAATGAAACTTCCCCATTTGAAAATTACCCTCCATACATTACTAGCTTCTATAAAGCTGTGCCTACAAGAAGTAGTTTTTTTTGCATTTCCTTATAAAACTTGTCATTTCTTCTAGTGCAAATGATCACAGGATGTTTATTTTATGTAAAAAAAAGAATTTCTTAGGAAAATTTAAAAGCTTTACAAAAATTATAAAAAAATTTTCAAAAGATGCTAACATATACCAACTCTTTTTATTTGGCATTATACTACAAATATTTTATTTGAAAATATGTTTATATTGCCTATAAACAATAATCATATGATGCACCATAATTTAGTCAATGACTAACATTTGTTTTCATATTTTTCTACTATTAATAATGTTAGAAGATATTCATATTCATAAATATTCTTCTATGTCATTATTACTTTGTAATGATTCCTTAGGAAAGGAATCACTGAATCAGAGAAGATAAATCACTTTAAAGAACTTACATATATTGCTAAATTTATTCTCTGCAAAGGGCTGGAGTGACAGCACAGTGGGTAGGGCATTTGCATTGCAAGCGGCCAACATGGCCAACCCGAGTTCGATTCCTCCGCCCCTCTCGGTGAGCCCGGCAAGCTACCGAGAGCCTGGCAAGCTCCCCGTGATGTATTTGATATGCCAAACACAGTAACAATTGTCACAATGGAGACATTATTGGGCCCGCTCGAGCAAATCAATGAACAACAGGAGGACAGTGACAGTGATTCTCTGCAAAGATGCATGAATTATTGTTACTAGAATAATCTGAGTGATTACTTCTTATCTTTGCTATCATTGCCATCTGTGGCACTGTCACACTGTCCTCCATTGTTCATTGATTTGCTCGAGCGGGCCCAGTAACGTCTCCATTGTGACAATTGTTACTGTGTTTGGCATATTGAATACATCACAGGGAGCTTACAGGCTTTGCTGTACAGGTGAGATACTCTCAGTAGCTTGCCAGGTTCTCTGAGAGGGGCGGAAGAATCAAACTCAGGTCGGCCGTGTGGGTCACGTGCTAGGCAAATGCCCTACCCGTTCTGCTATCGCTCCAGTCCATCATTACCATCATGTGAACAAATATTTTAAAGAACTAATATATGGAAAATTTTCAAAATAATGACTCTTTTCCACTCACAAGATGGCTTAATTTTCACTGTGATTAGCATCCCAGTGGATGATTTTTTAAAAATGAAATTGCCATGATTTACAAAATTATTGATAGTTTTAGGCATACCAATTCAACACCAATCCCTCCACCAGTGTCAACACCTTTTCCCTCCCTAACCAAACCCTCACTCCAGCCCCACTGTCAACTTGACAGACACATTGGTTGCCACTTAGATCTCATGTTTTCGGTTCTGTTGAGTCTGTGTTTTGGATATATACGCATATCACTGATATAACAAAGTCATGATGCCTGTTAACCCATTACTTCTTGTTCTCTTCTTCCCCCTTTGATTTCTTTCTTTCTGTGTCTGTCTCCTCTTTAAATACTGCTTATTTTAAAAGATTTTCTTGTCAAAACCTTAAATACTTACTAAAAGGAGAACAGATAAGTAAATTATGGTACATCTACTCTATTGCATATCACATAAGCAATAAAAATATTTAAGGATGTCTTCATGCTCTTGTATAGAGAATATTATATAGTATTTTTTAAATAATATGATTATTATTGGTATGTAAATCTAGAGGCAAAAGCTATGTATACAATTATTTAATACTATGGTATTTTGAGAGGGGATGGAGGAGAACTTTCAGATAGAAACCTCAGCTTGGAGTTTATTACAAAACTTGGCGTTTATTATGCCTCAGTGACAATGATCACAATGAACTCCTTAATTAATACATATCTTTCCAACTTACTAGAGAAAATTTAATATATTTGGAAACCATTACAGTATATCTGGAAGAATGGAAAATGACACTAAATTTTACATGATATTTAGGATTTTGTAAGATTCATCTGGTAACTTTAAAAATAAAATGTCATGAGTATATTTTATTTTGTATTAACTCATTTAATCATTTTTAAAATATCACTTGGCATCATGCTAAGCAAAATGAGTCAGAAAGAGAGGGACATGCATAGAAAGATTGCATTCATCTGGGGAATATAAAGTAACAATTTGGGAGATTAACACCCAAGAATAGCCGAGATAAGTACCAGGAGATTCACTCCATGGCTTGGAGGCCAGCCGCACATGCTAGGGGGAAAGGCAGCTCAGATAGAGAAGAGAGCACCAAGTAAAGGGTGTTGGGAGGATCCTCCCAGGATGAAAGATGCATGCTGAAAATAGACTATAGACCGAACATGATAGCCACTTAATGCAAACCACAGGACCCAAAAGGAGAGAGAGAACAAAAGGAAATGCCCTGCCACAGGGGTGGGGTGGGATAGAGGGGGTGGGTGGTGGGAGGGATGCTGGGAGCATTGGAGGTGGGGAATGGGCACTGGTGGATGGATGGGTACTCAGTATAACTGAAACCCAAGCACAAAAATTTGTAAGTCTACAACTGTACCTCATGGTGTTTCACTAATAAAAATTAAAAAAAAATAAAATGTCACTTGGCATAGTTGAGCATCCAAGTATGGAGAAACAAGAAATATTAAGGAAAAAAATCTTGCTTTAGAGTATATAAATTTGTTACTCATAATTTTCTTTTGTGCTCTAGTACTTTCTAAATCTTTGCTAAAAACATAACTTGAACCAATGTTCCTCTTAGCAAATGGAAAATATTTTCAGAAATATAGGCAGGACTACAAAATTCCCTCCCTTCTTTCACTTATTAATTTTCTGAGTAGCAATTGTTGGCACAAATCAGTATCCTTTCTTGTTACTTGAAATGGCCCCCTTCTCTGTCTTGATGACACAGACCCCACAACTTGGTGTTTATATCTCCTTTCTCCCTTGCTGAAATTGGGAATGTGTAATCATTCTAGCTCCTACAAGTCAACTCCACTAGTATATAATCATACATCATAATCAAATGAAAAAAATGCTGGTGATGGTCCCCAACCAACTTGCCTTTTCATCTCTGAAGATTTTCTCAATTGCTCTGTATATAACATTTATCATTATCTTCCCATATTATTTTCATCCAGATGGATTATGCCTCCTATCTTATCTCAAATATGCACTAATTTTCCAGCCCCCACCATCAGGAACTTAAAATCAGGTGCACATTTCTTTCATTCTCAGAAACTTTCTATGGCCGAAGTAATTCAGCATTTCTCTTGCCAAGACTGTTAATAGGTTTTTGTTGACTGCCATGTAAAATTCTAACTCCTTAGCAAAGCATTGCAGACCTGCAGTGAGTTGTTTTGACAGCCATCATTCTAACATTGCTGCCAGCTCGAGAAGCTTTCCATTCATTCTGCCATCCAGATTCAGCAAACAAGTCACATTTCTCTAAGCATATCCTCATGACCTACCTCTACAGCTCTGTATGATTATCTTTTTCCTTAAACCAAAGAGCAATTCTTTCCTGATGACGTGAAGGAGGATTATGCCAGGACACAGTTTAACTTTGATCACAGAGATGTCAGGGTGAAATGTTATTATTTGAATTTGAACACAAAATTCAAATGGAACATCAAGAAAATAATAAGCCTCCTTTCTATTCTTTCCACTACTAGCAGCAGTGACCCAGAAAGTTCCCTAAATTTCTGACTGGACAAATAATAAAAGCAGCATCAAACTGTTAGCAAAGGGTTAGCTAAGAAAATGTCCACATAACAATGTATGTAGAG